GTAAGAAGCAGTCCACTTCTGTTGAAGCACATTCTTGAGGAGGAGGCACGCAGTGGTCTAGATGAGCCAACAGCCGGTGGGACTAGCGCCGGAGGTGGCTATCAAAGTGACGGAAGCCGGGACTCGAGGTTGTGTGAAGAGGCTCGGGTGCGCGGACACTCGAACAGCCTCGGAGGTGGAGGTCTGGCTGGACGACGGATCCTGCTTCGCTCTGGTTCTGTTGAAGAGCAAGTGGGCGAGCTTCGCGGTACAGCCGGCCTCTTGCACTTGAGAACCGGTCGGGCCAATGGCTCCGGGGGCGCCCATAGCCCGGCTTGGACACGTCGACTATCCCCAGCCGCGGCGGTACTTGCGAATGGTGGAGGTGGTGCTGGGGGGACAGGCTTCTCACGGCCTGGAAGTGTGACCAGCTGGGCTGCGGCACTTGGGGGCTACTCGTCTGCCACGGTAGATCGCCGACGGCGATCCTCATTCTCATCTCCGTTGGCCAGCAGCTTGGCCGGAAGCTTGGCTAGTGGAACTGGAACCACCAGCGGACTGCGATATGCAACCAGCGGTGGCGGTGGTGGTGGGTCGGCCGGTCAGATGTCGGCCATGGCGACTGCGGCCGCGCATCATTTGGCCGTTGGGTATCGGACCTCTCGCGATCGTCGCTGCAGTGGCCCTCCTGGGCTGCTTCTGCTGGCCGCCAGCGCCATCTACATGGCCACCAACTCGGCCACAACACCGGCCGCCGCTTGCTCCGGCACTCCTGCAAGCCTAGTCCCGGGGCTTGGGCAAAGTGTGGTTGAGGAGCAAAGTGAACCCAAGCCGGCTGCAGTAGGCCCGATCAGCTCAGTGGCCTCGGATGCTGACCTGCAAGAAGCCGGACTGGCTGGCATCGGACATGCTGCGGGGATGACGGACAATTTGCCTCTTACACCAGCCTCAACGGCTCCTCTTGTCGGCGGTTGGCCGGTACCGCAGCGCCGTCGGAAGCGTAGGCCCGTTACTTTGCTGGGCCAGCTTCCTCAACCTACCGTTATGTCCACGTCAGGATTTCGACAAGACGCTCAGGCAACACCGACAGTCGCCAACGGAGCGTTAACTGACAAGTGGGTTGCATTTAATAGACCGGCTATTGCCAGAAGCACCATCGCATCTCTCAGCCATCGAGGCAATCATCTGCTTCATACAATAGTCTGTTAAGAGATGAGCCTAAAGTATGCTTTACGTTTATTGGTCTGTTGAGCGCATACAGTTCAAGCAAAGTTGTATCCACATCCTTTCTTCACCGGAGTGTTCATTACATTTAGCTTAAAAGTGGATTAACTCTTAAAAAGCTAGCATTTATCAGAAAAATTCGACCAAATATTCTGGATAGTCGTGGGATTGTATTGCCACATTGTCTTAGCTCCAATAAATTCCGAACGGCGTGGTTATGTATTTAGGCTCAAAGTTAGTCACTTTCCACAATGACCAACTTTTCCCTCGGACAAATCAAAACAAAAAAGCTAAAAAACTGCTGCTAAATAAGGATTTTTGGGAAATAGACTATGCATTTCATGAAAGCGAAAGGATTCCGATTGTTTATATGACCACATCTTCCATAAAGAGCATTAGGAATCTAAGCAAAAATCAAAAATAAAACACCAACTAATACAAATGACATGTATTGATATTTACGAGACAACCTCCAAACTTGCCGAAATTTAACCTATGCACAATCGTGAACCCACGATGGTTAAAGGATTTCTCAGACAATAAGTCAAGGTAAATTGAATAATGACGGAAAACAAAAGTGGAAAATCCAAATAATCCTTAACCTTGGCGTAAGAAGCAGCATTCATGCACGTGATATGATTCCACGAATATAGATAAAATTGGTTTGACCTCGTGTCTATAACTTGGTGGTTTTGTTAGGGGGAGCTCGATAATCATATCTCGTCCGTAGCCCTCTGTCATAGTAGTCTAGCATCTGATGAGGACTTGGTACCTTCTAAACGTTTCGCCGGCATCATCAATGAGCCTTGCCAACTTGGCCACACTTGCAATAGGACACACCAAGTCAAAGAGAGAAAGGAAGTCCATTTCTAGATCCACATTCTGCTGAACA